TGAGCTCATCCTCTCTTCTCTCCACAGCATCACTGCTCTCATATGGGGTCCAAATAAAGCAGACACAGAAAACACATCACTTCCTGTTTGACAGAGGACTCTTCCCAGGAATAGACCAACCAGACAGTGGGTGGGTGTGTTCTTATACAAAAAATATTCTGGGACATTTTTGAAAAGTAAGGACATTTTGGCTGGCCCTCACTTTGTGAAAGGGTTAAGGGTAAAAGCTTTCATCAGGCTGAATCACTGTTCTACTGCAGCGATCGGCCACAGACAGCAGCAAACTGAACACGTTATGTACACTGACCTTTGACTGCACCGGAGAAAAAGTCCACGGAAAACCGCTGCAGAATTAAAATGTTTTATAAAAATACAGGTTAATGTTCTTAAATATAAGAACATTAAACGTTAAAAATATATGCAAACATTTTGTTCAGAGCAACTTCCACAGTTTTAATAACCCAGCCAAACTAATCAGTCCAAAGTCAAGAATGAACTTTCATGTTAAACTTCCAGCCAATGTGGATTTAGTTCTTGCTATGGAGGAAGTTGTACAGTAACACAGATCCATGTCTGTGGTAACTGGGCAAATACTGTCTGCTGACAAAGTCCAAGTGACTTGGTTCATGGCTCCTGACAGACCTAAGTACACTTGAGTTTGATAAAACTTTTCATTCCTCTCAGAACTCCTGGTGTTGTCTTGCCTGCTTTTGTACATGCCATTTTTTGTTCCACCCCTCTAGAGGGAGAAGAAGTGAAGATGAAATGCTCTTCTTGTTTATACGCCTGCATTCTTTAGTGCAGTAGAATTAGACCTTACTTTGTTTTTCCTTTGCTTTGATTCTTTTGGGCAGATGTGAAGCAAAACAACCACAAGACACTTTAGAGGTCATGGTCCCTGGTCACAAGAATTGTGGAGAAATTTGTTTTTGTTGGGAACATTATGGCAACATACTGCTACCACCATGGGAAAAAGTGTTTCATTAAAACTAGAAAGCATCTTGTTAAACACAGTAAATAGTTCTCATGGCAGCAGCAGTACACTGCCACAGAACCTGATGTGATGCCCTTTGCAAATCTGGGCTACAACAAGGCCGAGTGCAGCCTCCTCATTCTTTTGAATGAGACCAGTCTGCCAAGGCATTTTGTGACTCTTTCTTGTTTTGGAGTTTTTCCTTGAAGGTTTACATTGTTACAGGGTTTCTGTTTCTGTTCAGTGGTGAAGGACGGCGTAAATGAACTCCAGTACAGCGCATGTATGGGGATAACTGGGGATAAGTGCAGACTAGTTCAGACCATTTTGAGCTGACTTTAAATATCTTCCACATGACTCCATTTTAGACAGAAATGACAAGGCTCTACAGTCAGAAAGAGAGAGAGACAAATACAGTTGTGGCTCTGGAAAATGTCATCACCTCTGTTTCATGTGCAATCAAGTCCCAGCTCAGCGCTAAATCACATGCTTTAAACCTTGCGGGTTCAAAAGGGCCCATAATCCAAGTGTTTATTATATTTTTTCACTCTCTACATAAACTGGCTGCACTTGTCCAAATACACACTCAGCACCAGTGGAGGGTGGGGCTGTGATGAAGATTGATGGGCTTGGCTTAGGCCACATTAGTTGCTAATCAAGATTGGTTTTCTGGCATGGAGCTCTGTACATCATTATGTGCCTAAAATGTCCTCCAGACCAGGACTACTGCTGTATATGATCCGGAGAAACGACAGCGCACATGAACATCTGTCGAATCTCATGAACCTACAATGTATCTTAACTCTGTAATGTTCAGTTTGTGTTGACAACATGTCTGTGTCTGTTATGGTTCATACTGATACTAGGACTCCAAATGCAGGCCAGGACTAGGAAGAAGCTTTGGAAAGTCTTTATTATAGTAAGGAGTACAAGGTTCAAAATAACTAGAGGGAACAAGCCCTGGTCAGGAGCAGCCCAGCACATGATGAGGGACAAGCAGCCAAGTCAGACAGGCAGGATTGGCGTCGATGTAGTGGAGAAGCCAGGAGCACACAGGTAAGTAGAGCAGGGCAGGAATGTTGTCAGTGTGGAGGTGAGTGGAGCAGGTGAGTCAAGCAAACAGGAGTAGAGTTGATGTCGTTGGGTAGACAGGAACACACAGACGAGGCTGTAGGACAGGAGTGAACTCACTCAGGGCTGGGGACCAGTGTCAAAGAACAGCCAAGAAAAGCAGGGTGGTGTGGTGGTGGGCATCGTGAACGGAGTCTCGTCAACCTCTTCAGTAACGTGAACAGAACAAATGGACCAGTGAGTGACTGTGGGAAAGGAGGTATATATGGACTGTAAACGGGGGGATAATAAGCAACAGGTGCAAGTAATGATTGGTGATTATGTGCTGGAGTGAAGCTGGGGCAGGTGAGGTGACATGGGGCAGGAAGTCTAACAAAAATAAAAGTTCCCAAACCCAGAAGCAAAGCCGAACCATAACAGTGTCGGAGTAACATAATGGTTGTTTCAGAGGCTGCTGCATTGTATAGTTTTCCCAAGGTGTGTAAAATCTACATGAATGTGTTGATTTCAAGATGAGTGACAAAAATAGTCCACCATTTTCTGAGGAGGCTACAGTTGCCATTTGCCACAGGGCCCAAGTTTGTGTTACGCAGTCAGTCTCATTTCATGAGACAGCCACACGGCCGTGGCCTTGATTATACATGGATTTATTTTAGAAAACCATAATAAGACAAACCCTGGATGATAAACGTGATTACTATGATGGAAATGTTTTGTTTTTATCCAGTAATTATTAGGTTTTTATCACATCCCTTTTGAATGGGTAACTTTTCAGTCCACATATGACAAACTGTCCCTACATACTATATGCAACACATCATTTTCATATTTCTGATTCTCACCAAATGTGTGTATGTATGTATATTTCATGAGACATCCAAGAAAATAGTGAATTCATGAAGACGTTTTTGATTCACATCTACATTTTTATTGTTAAATGCCAAGACAGCTCAACTTGTGTGTAGTTCTTCGGTAGATTGGTGCTAATGCTTTCTTATTGTCATTCTTATAAATATTTAGTGAATCTCGACCATTGTAAACCCTTCGTTTAAATATGCTGGGTATTACATGCTGATTAGTTGTATGCACGCCCATTATGACGATGTATTGTTTATGAGTTATAATACATTCAAAGTGTTCAAATTCCAAAAAGATCAGTACACAACTGTGGATAACTGCTGTGCTGTACAGTCTTTGAGTTAAATACCATAATCTACTAAACCCAGTGTTGGCATTTTAAAGACCCAGTTCACTTCCATTACATCTATGTAGTCATATCAATCAACACCAGTGCTCATAAGCACAGGCATGTTTCTCCAGTGTGGCCTACAATCCTAAAACTAGGCAGCTGAGCTTCCAGGATCATGAATGACTTTAAAAAACAAACATTTATTTACATGTATAAGGTATGTTCCCCCTTCTTTGCCAGTCATCCTCGCGGGTTGGTTTACTTGCACTCTGCCTGTTGGATGTTCTAACCAAACAGAGAGATTATTTCTGCATATTTATTATGCAAACACATAGTAGTAGTGTACCATACAGAAACAAATATTTATTTTATGTCTACCATGAGTCTGTTGCAGTCTGAGCAGTGCTCCCTAAAAACCGAACCTCTAAAGACAAAACACTGCCAATCCTGCTGCTGATGGCGTCATCCTGGGCTTTAGTCATAAGCTGGCTGGCCAGTGAAGCCCTACTCTCATTGAAACTTTTCAACATCCCAGCAGCTTTGTAAATAAATACCCATAGTTTCATGAGGCTTTTGTGTTTGTGTGTGTATACATCTATGTGTGTTCTTAAGAACACCGGCAGGAGTACTTGTGCACAGAAGCAGGATCACCACCCCCAGACTGAGACCACCCTGACTTTAACACTTAATCCAGGAGGAAGTGGACTTGCATCGCAGAACCACTTAGGACCGCCTGCCCCCTCTGTACACACAGATGTCTATGCAAGGTTGGAACTGTGTTGCAATGGATTTGGAGCTTGTCCCCTCTCATATACACATATGCAAACATACACACACTTAATTTTAGCACTCAAGCTAAAACAAACCAGTTAAGATTTATACCACACAGCTGGTCTTTCACAAATTAAACATGTTTGCTGAATGTGTTATTGTCAGACTGACTGTAAATACATCATAGCTGTGTTTGAATGTTTCATCGTCAGTGTCTCTACAGTCAAAATACATTAGTGAACCTTTTGTGTGTGCTCTCAGCTGTGTTGGCACAAATATCGCTGATTGTGAGTATGTGTATATTTGTGTGTGTGCTTACACAAATGTCTCTTAACATTACAAAGACAGAGTTGAGGGAAGTCATCTGTTAGACCACTGTGATGATTCAATTCAGCTCAAACAATGAGGTGCACGTATGTTCTAGTACTTCTATGCAGAAGCAAGTCTTGCAAAGTCTTGCTTGTGAGACTTTTTTTTCTGACAAAAAAGTATGACCTGTTAGTTTAAGGATTTCCTTGACTGGGCATAAAATCCAGGCATTTGTACATTCATGTGAGCTTGCCTGAATCCACTGGTGGCATTGTAAAAGCGGATTTTTTCGACTGCCCCCGGTTTTGTGGATATATTTTACCTCCTGCTGCACTGTGACCAGAGGATGTGGAGAAAAATCCAGGGCCTGAGGTTACTGCATGTCTGGGAATGTTCCTGTACAGGGACTCGCTGTTTCACCTGACCAGGTCTAACCTACAAGCGGCCAGGCAGTGAAGCCTCCGCGGTGGTGAATGATCAGCTCATCAACACTAGATTTTCCCGGAGCACAGTACTTGTTTGTTCTGACTACTTGAGGCCAGTGTGTCTGCCACATGTGATGTGTTGCTGGTTAACGAGTGGATTAACAACCCATGATGTTATTGTCGGTGCTACGCTACTTGTTGGAATTAATTTTAAAAACTACTTTGGGACTGTGTGTGGTCGTGTGGGGGAAGACACAGCGACCACCAGTTGGATTTACCGACCATGGAGCTACTTGAAAGGGAGCGATGTTTCCACTACTCGGTGGGACTTAACGGTAAGTTTAAGAAACATGTTGTGTGTCTGTTAATGTGTTGTTTCTGTAACATTACAGAGAATTGTTGTAAGGCTGGAGAAGTTACTATGTCTGCATTATGCCAGTTAAAATATGGGGTTTCTCAATTACCATTTGGTGGAGAGGTTCACATTAATTAATGCTATTGTGGTTCCTTGTGCTGTCTACTTGTGACACAACACTGACAACAGGAGTTGTGCGCATTCACAAACTATCCTCTTGTTTTTAGGAAGAGGATCTCTGGTTTTATCATTCTGAAATAATTACAGACTATTTGGATTTATGAGGGGTGCAAAACTAATCTAGAGGAACCCAAGATTAAACATTAAATAGCTGGAAAAGGAGCAAAATGAGCAGCCATGGGCACTTTAAGTCTACAGGATGTGCAGTCTAAATATGCATCATGAGCCCAAATCTCTCATGTAGACGTTAAAGGTACAGGAAAATTGACTAGTGTGTTGCATGACTGAGTCCTGTGTTGAGGTCTGGTATTAATTAGATGGAGGAGGGTGTTCACAGTGTGACACTGCTGACGGGCCTTTCACAGCTCATTGCATGATCTCCAATCAGAGCGCAGCGAGCATGACTGCTGTTTATTTATACACAGAGCTGGAAATGGCAGAGTGCAAGCAGCAAGGACCCAACCTCAAACACTGAAACACTCCAATACATTGTACTGCCACAGAGGGTTCCAGTCAACAAGGGTCTTATGGACGCAGACATATAGAAGCACATACACACACACTTTCAGAAATATGCACGAGTGTGCAGTTCTTAAAATGTACTCTCTTTTGTCAATCTGAATTGATGTTGCTTTTCCCCCAAAGATCAATACAATTTCATTTATTTATTCCACACTTACTGACATATTAAGAGCAAGCATGTCACACAAATGTAAGAAAGAGTTCACAAAAGGTGACATCAAAAATAAATTTATTACAGCATCAGCAAATGATTCAACATTAAGAGATGTTCATGCAAATGTAAGAAGAGCACAGTAAAACAGCTACAGTGAGTTCTCCATACTGGACATATGACCAGAGGCGTCTATATGTGCAGCAGACGACACAGGAGCCAGGTTTAATCAGTCAGCTTTGTAGTAATGACAACATACCCAGTGATTATAACCTCGTGTTTCCAGCAGACCACTAGCTCCACGGTAGCTAACATCATAGCACACAGGCCGAGATGGACAGGCCTTTGCTTTTTATCTTTGATTTGCAAATGCATCATTTGCTGTCAGTTGTTAGCAGTGTCATTTGTGGTGATGATGCAGCATATCTATATAAATATCAGTACTGGGTGGTAGTTGTCTGTTAAACTAACATGCAGTATATTACTGATTTATAGAGATTAAGGTTCCATTATGGCAGACATCTGATAACACTGCTAGCACTATTTAACTTTTTCCTCCCTTGTTTTTACAGAAACAATGAGATAGAAGTCTGTGTTCTGTCTTTAATAAAGAAGCATGGCAACGTGTGACAGGCTGCATTAGCCACAGTGGCCTTTCATTTGTTTTCAGTGACACAGCCACAACGTGCTAGCAAGCAAGTGTTCAGTGCACTGCCCTTACTGTGACTAACAGCTGGTTAGCTGCTATCACTCAGTGCATTGTTTGATTAAATGTTGGGATGAAGCCCCATAACTGACCACCAAGTGGGGACACGTGGACCATATTCTCATCATGTGTGTTAATCAGCTGGGACGTTCCACAGAAACCTAATACACTCATGTGATGCAATTTCACTTGATCGAACTTTACACAGAGTCAGTGTGGATAAAATGGTCTTTTCATCCAGAAAGAGAGGACGTGTGCACGGCCATGCAGGACAAACTGTAAAAGGCATTAACTTAACAGTATTCAGAGGATGACAGCAGCGTAGAGATTCTAAATGTAGTGCAAATGGTTCATGCTGAGCTAACAAGTACAATATGCAGATCAATACTTCAACCAACCCAGAGGGCTGTGCAAAGGTTTAATGTTCATGAAAAATACAATGGAATATGTTTCTAAGGTTTAGAACGGGGCACAGGGCACATGTAGAGGGGCACTAGAGAGCATTAACAGAGTGAAATAAAAACTGCGTATCATGGACAGAGGTTTGCAAAGCTTTCCATATGCTTTGTATGATGACAGTGCATGCAGACATGTCTCCCCGCTGAGCAGGAATAATGTACATTTACGCTGGAGATTATTGCACAACATTATATGCAAACACTTTGTATGATTACAGCAAACAGATGTCAGGGTCATAACTACAGTTAGACGCGTGTTCCTCATCGACACAGTGGCCACAATGCATTACTACACCTATTGCTTATACAGTACGTTTATAATTAAAGACCTACAGTTCACAAACAGAAGCACGTGATCAGTCTCACAACAAACAGAGAATTATGTACAGTATTTACAAAGTGACTTCACTGACACAATGGATTCAAACTGATTACCCATCATCCATCAGAATATGAATTCAACCTGCCAGAAAGGGAATAATCCTGGGATGGAAATATAGTTTCAGGATCCAACATGCGCACACACACACACAGTATATTCCTGCAACAGCTAACTGGCAGTTTGGGATTCAGGACTCGCTTACTGAATGAAGGTACAGTACTACCCCACAGTGGTAAGATGATGTAATGTCACCACACAGTTCAGTCACTCTTTCTACAGCTGCTTGATGTTGTTTCCACATGCTACACTAGATCAACATGCAGCAGAGTAGGAAAGGGTGTGTACGGCTGGCAAGTCTTTATGCTGTTGACATTACAGCTCTACGACATATTGCAATACAGTGACTTGTTATTTGTGCACACCAGCTCTTGATCCAACAGGGAGGAAGTAAAGGAGCGAGCGAACTCCAGAGGCTCTGCAGTAGTGTTTATTTGGGCAATCAAGGGTGGCATCAGAGGAGAACAACAAGGATGTTAACTATCATGGAAGACAGCTTGGATGGATATGAGTCTCCAATCTTCTCAAGGACAGAATACAATTTCTAATTAAAACACAGCAAAATGGGACTGAAATAGGTAGTACCATCTCTCAGAAAGTGCACAGAGGCTTTCAGCACAGACGGGACCTGGTAGAAATGTTCCTGTTTAACTGTGGGCAAGAAGGCAAATAAGCAGATTTCCCAAAAACAGTTTCTCTAAGAGAAGCCGGGGAGTGATACTGTTACAGAGAATTAAAATGCCCACAGTGACACTGTTACAGAAGCACAAATGAGCAAAAGAGATCTTAGTAAATAACTTTAGTGATTCTGTATTTAAAAGAAGAGACCTGACACCACCTGAAGAGCAGAAATAACCACTACGAGCCATGTATTATACGTATGTGTAAAATCTAACAATACTTCATAGTGTCTCAACAGATGCAGTCAGATGTAACAAATATGGAAACAGAATAAAACAGCATATAATCCACACATCCTGCATATGATGTAGAAATCCAAAGTGTCTGACAGCATATTGAGGCCATTTGGTTTTCATACTTCACTGACTTTTGGCTTCCAGTTTGTGTAGAGCAGGTCACAGACAGATACTGCACCAGCTGATGATGTATTATTGCTGATACAGGACAGGGTGCAGAGGTGCACCGCCACGCTGAATAAACAGGGTTCGCTACAACTATGGCACAAATCAGTACTGTAGGTTATGCTGTTTTTCAGCGGTACACAACACAAACACAACATTCAAACAAAGAGGTGGTCACTATAACGAGCGGTGAGACTTTAGTCTGTCAGGTGGAAACTTTGAAATGTAACGAATCGTCTTCATACTCACTCTACCGCCATTTTCTCTATGTGGTCACTCAGCAGCTTGTACTGTTCTGCAAAGAGGGAGAACACATGCACGCAATTGTTTTAAAGCTACATTAGGGTTATTTAAACTGACATATAACACCTTTTAAGTTGAACTTAGCAATCGGGCCTAGAGCATCATTATCATTCTTTTGAAGTCATGTTTCTGGCCAGCTGCGTTCTCCCTACGCCTGAGGGAAATACGCTACAGTGGATTCTTAAGAGCTTTTATGTGGCTGCTGTGAAGATGACATGTCTCCATGTGCGAACATATGGAGGTCCTAAACTGCCACACCTGTACAGATTTAACTGAAATGTGAATCATGTGTACAAGAATAACAATGATAATTTTCTCCAAAACTGTTTGTTGACAATATGTTCCTTCCAGTTCTAAGTTCCTTGATCAGAGGCTTCTCCTTCACTGTTCAACAAATATGGCATGTCCTCTTCTCTCCACTGACTTCTGTCACCATTTACCCTGACCGGTCTGTGGGGCGCTGACACTGAATGTGCACATGTACAAAGAAGTGAGACGTTAAAAAAAAACGCACACACAAATTCCAAATCTGACAGCAGTCCATAGTCAGAGGTCAGATCTGATCTTGGGCCAATCAAGTGGCCCAGACTGCATCTGAAAACATCTGAGAAGTTTTCTGACTAGAGGAATCCTCAAGCTGAAGACCAGAGGTATATTTTTCCATACTTTCCACACTTTTTCTGATTTGGTTTGTTCACATAGTGTATGTGGGAACAGATCAGATCTGAGCCACTTGGAGGAAAAGAGAACTTGTGTTTGGGCCACTCCAGCAGCGTCTGAGACCACTGAGGGTCCACAAAGGTGGTAACAGTCTTCTCACCCAAAAACAGAAATATTGTAAGACACTAGTACAGCTTAAGACCAAGCACGTTAGTGAGAGAACATGTTATTAAAATGGGACTTACATTCTGGGGGAAGCTGAAGATATCAACTTACTGACTTTAGTACATTTATTTTTCAGTAGCTACTTACTTCAAATGCTGAAGACCCCGAATCACAACTAAAATTTGATCTACTCTATTTATTGAGACGATGTGAATAAAACTGTAAAGAAGACATTCTGACTGCCGAGACAGATGTGAGGTCGACCGATCATTTTACTAGAGAAGACATCCCGCTCTGTTGGAGCTGTCACTCCACCGTGGTGTTTACAGAGTCATGCGTCTTTCTTTCTCACATTTTAACAGCGACAACAATCAGCACTGGCTAAAAGATGAGAAGCTGTGAACTTAATGACTGAGTTTGCCAACAAAAGTGTCGGAGCCACTTGCAGTGATGCGGGCAAATAACGTTTCTGATGGGATGTTTGCTCATGCATTACTTTGAAGGCCAACACAAAGTGACAATGAGGAACGTGGGCACTGAAAATGTCTGACAATGCCCACCCTTCTTCGTCCTTGTTGGGTTTTAAGGGCGGTTATCAAGAAACTCAACAATACATGTCAGTGAGCGATTTGAACATTCTGCCAAACGGCAACAGGTTTGCATCTGTGGACTCACGTGTAGAAATGCTTTGGAAATCAAGTCAGCAGCTCTCCCTTGTGGAGAACCTGCAGCCTGTAACACATGACTCACTGAGTTTGTTTACTTGTGAATGTGAGTTACGACCAAATTCCAATACATGCTTTGCATTTAAAATGACCAAATATTTAAAAGGGCTGAGAGCAGAGACTCTTCCTGTGTTTTAGTGTTTGAATGATCCCTTTAATGCTTTACCTTCGTTCAGGTTCCCAATGACTGCTTGCTTCTTCAAGAAGTCATTGCAGAGCTTCTTACTGAGCCCAAATGCCAGCATGTTGTGAGTGAATGTCCTGAAAGCACACATAATACCAAACTCAGCAAGGAAATTATAGAGATAGTGAACAAATGTGGAAACAAAACATCCAGTGATAGTGATGGTATCACCATGACAACTGTCAAATGGGTAATTGAGGGGATATGTAAACCATTAACCCATATTTTTAACATGTCGTTT